TGGATTGGATGAGGAAGGTACATATACACCATGGAATATTACTCAGCCATTAAAAAGAATTCATTTGAATCAGTTCTAATGAGATGGATGAAACTGAACTGGAGCCCATTATGCAGAGCGAAGTAAGCCAGAAAGATAAAGACCAATACAGTATACTAACACATATATATGGAATTTAGAAAGATGGTAACAATAACCCTATATGCAAAACAGAAAAAGAGACTCAGATTTTGGACTCTGTGGGAGAAGGCGAGGGTGGGATGTTTCGAGAGAACAGCATCGAAACATGTATATTATCTATGGTGAAACAGATCACCAGCCCAGGTTGGATGCATGAGACAAGTGCTCAGGCCTGGTGCACTGAGAAGAAGACCCCGAGGGACTGGGTAGAGAGGGAGGTGGGAGGGGAGATCGGGATGCAGAATACATGTAAATCCATGGCTGATTCATGTCAATGTATGACAAAAACCACTACAATACTGTAAAGTAATTAGCCTCCAACTAATAAAAATAAATGGAAAAAAATAAGTAAATAAATAGTAAATGTGGAATGTGCTTTGTAAATTCTATGTGCAACTAAGACTAGGGAAGAAGCAGAAGGATTTTTTCAAGAGAAAGGTAATGTTTCTAAAGAAATAGACCTATGTTATAGAAGAAAAGTCCCAATGTCTTTAGAAGTTGAAGATTTTAAAAAGAAGAGAGAAAGGAAGGAAGGAAAGAATGGAGGGAGGGAAGAAGGAAGGAAGGAAAAAAGATCTTGGGTCAGGGAAGAAGATCTGGTTATAGAGACACAACACTGAAGAGAAACTCTTATTTCCCTGGGGTGGGATGGGTAGGGAGAGATCCAGGAAACAGGGAAAGACACTGTCTGAAAGGCACAGACAGGAAGTGGCTATTTTTATGAATGGCACAAACAGGAAGTAAATATTGCCATAGCTGTACCAGTGACCCAGGAGATGGTAACAAGCATAAGAAACCAGGCCAAGGCACCACTCCATCAAAATTGCCATTTCAAAGTGACTCAGCATACATCTGGTCCCATCACTTCAGGAAAATAGATGGGGAAACAGTGGCTGGATTTATTTTTCCGGGCTCCAAAATCACTGCAGATGGTGATTGCAGCCATGAAATTAAAAGACTCTGGGAGTTGGTGATGGACAGGGAGGCCTGGCATGCTGCGATTCATGAGGTCACAAAGAGTCGGACACGACTGAGTGACTGAACTGAACTGAACAGCACACATGGTTGGAAAAGCAAGACTCACAAGATATGAGGAAAAAACACTCCAGAAACAGAAAAAGACGCTGACAGAAGATGCTGCTAGAAGGATGGATGGCAGGAGCACACCTCCTTGGTGGGGGGACAATACCCACTGAGGGTTCAGGACAGTAAGAGATGCTTTTTCCATCTCCAGGACACCTTGACTTCATGCCCAGGCCAGCTTCGGAAGAGGACATGGGGGCAAATACTGTGTGGGTAAGAGGTTTTAGAAATGTAAGGAGGCTCCAGAAGCAGGCATTTCAGTGATGGGAGTGGGGGGCTTCTCTGACCCCTCCTACCAGCATCTTGGCTCCGGGCTGCTGACTTTAAGCTCCTGTGGACAGCTGGGCTGGAAGGTACCAGCAACAACCTCCTCTGGGGGCAGGTGGGCAACTGCATTAGACCAGGAAGTGGGCAGGGGCAAGCCTGATGGGTAGGATGTCTCAGCACAGGAAGCCCCAGAAATTAATACACATAATGTGGGTGCTGGGTTCCAGGGAGGAGAATCCTTACAGTATTGGGAGAGGGTTGGAGCCCCTGAGATGTGGGCAGTAAAGTTAACCACCTTTCCCTTCCTACCCGCGGCCTGGGGACACCATGGTTACAAACATAGTATTGACTTGAAATTTGTGGCTTTTCTTTATTTCTTTTTTGGACTCTGATATAGCATTGTGGAAATGAGACAGCTCTTATTTTACAAGACAGAATTTTCACAAATAAACACATCCCATCCTTTATACTGACCTTTTTTACTTTTCATCTGCTCAAAAATCTTATATTACTTCTTGGTTTCTCAAATAATAAATTTCAAATTCCTTAGCACAGGATGTCCAAACTTCAAAAATCCTCTCCAACTCCTCCTTCCAGAAGGGGCTTTCAAAACCTCTCACCCACACTCCCTTTTGTAGCCACGTGGTTCTGCAAGTCTACTGTTCCTTTTACCTGATACAGCTTTCCCATGCTGCCTCTCCCCAATGCATGGGTAGGTACTGGCCTTCTCCTGCAAGTTCTCCACACTGGTAGGGGAAGTAAGTTTGCACCTGACTGCCCCAAATTTTCCTACAAAGAAAATCTTTTCATCTTTGAGTGTGTCTGCACGTGTTAAGGAAGTCTCCCTCCTTTCCAACAAAAGGGCATAATTCATGCCTTCCTCCAAAAAAGTAGAGATTTAAATCCTATGCTTCTCAGCTTCAAATATAGATCCTGGCTGAGCAATCATCTGTGGCATTACTGGGTTAAGGTGTCACCCCTACTACGTGTAAGCTTCATGGAGACACAGATAATGTGTGTTTTCCTTCCCATTTTACCTGCCACTAGATAGTCACTCAGTAAAATAACTTTCAAACATATGAAAAGTGAATGAATGAATCAGTGAATGAAGTGGACTTGAGTCCCCAAAAGTTGTTGAAAGCTCTAATTACCGTTTTGGAAGCTATTGCGAATCTGAAGTAAATCAGGATAGGCCTTCAGGTTAATCTGGCTGAACAGGGCTTCCAGAACCGTCTTGTCAAATTTCTTCTCCAGCTCACTGAGAACTTCATACATCACTCTTTCCACCGGGACCAGATTTCTACAAGCTTCTTGAAAATGCTTTAAAAATATTGAATGGAGAATTATGTAGCTTTGTGTGTATGGGTTATGGGCGTCTCAGATCAGAAATAAACAAATTTGCTCCCTGGTGAAGTGTTAGAATGTTACATTTATTTGGACTGGTTCCCTGATAGCTCAGTTGGTAAGGAATCTGCCTGTAATGAAGGAGACCCCAGTTCAATTTCTAGATTGGGAAGATCCCCTGGAGAAGGAAATGGCAACCCACTCCAATATTCTTGCCTGGATAATCTCATGGACAGAGGAGCATGGTGGGCTACAGTCCCTGGGATCTCAAGAGTCAGACACATCTTAGTAACTAAACCACCACCACCATCACCCACTCCAGTATTCTTGGGCTTCCCTTGTGATTCAGCTGGTAAAGAATCTGCCTACAATGCGGGAGACTTGGGTTCAATCCGTGGGTTGGGAAGATCCCCTGGAGAAGGGAACGGCTATCCACTCTAGTATTCTGGCCTGGAGAATTCCATGAACTGTATAGTCCACAGGGTCGCAAAGAGTAGGACAGCACTGAGCGACTTTCACTTTCACTACATATATTTGGATGGCATCTAAAATATCCTCCATTGTAAAAATAGACTCTTATGTTGTTAACCTGCCTCTCTGACATTGATGTCCATTTAAGAGAGCAACTCTGAAGAATAAAAATAAGTTCAAAATTGAATGTGGTGTGGGGACTTTAAGAGCCTGGCCAGGATGCTTCAGGAGTGGTCCTTACTGGTACTGAGAGGCCATTTTGTTGACCAGAAAATAACCAGTGCCCTCGCTTCCAGGAAACCTGGCAACCACTCCTATGAACATGGCCAAAGGGCAAAGAAAATTCACAAAGACAAAACGATGACTTGCTCCCAGATTCCCAGGAAGGCCCACAGTGCATTCTGCATCCAGAAATGCCTAAAGAACAACAAACAGTTTGGAGACAGCAGCAAGCACCTTGTTCCGAATTCATCCTAACGTGACACAACTTCCCTGTGAGTTCATTCACCTCAGATTCAAGCGTGTAAAAGAAGAGGGCTTTGTGGTGAAATGTTGCCCAACTCACTTATTCACTTTAATTTTGTTATTGCTATTACATTGTGTCAGTGGACCTAAGACACTCCCACCTGTGTCTCATTCCCATTTCCAGAGTTGCTGCATTTCCATCATCATGGCCCCCTCCCATTTACGACAGAAGAAGGAATACTGTCTGTGATGCTGTTTCTCCTATCCCCTCCTAACTGACGGGATGGCGAAAGTCCCTGTTCAAAGGAGGCCCTTTAGCCTGTTCATCGCATTCTAAATTTGGCAGAATCTAGTGTGGGGCTGGTTGTCAAGAGGGAATTCCCTCACTTACCTCGTACATCGACTCAGAGATGAAGTCCCGATCTCGCAGGCCCATGAGGAAAGGAAATGGCTTTGGTATGGCATTTGCAATCTCCACCTTATTTTCTTTGAAGAGCCTGAATACGAACTCATAGCAAAGCTGCTCCACTGGGTGCTGCTCCTCTGGGTTCTGATCCCCTGTGATCATTCTGAGAAACAAAGACACGAAATGAAAGTAGACACTGGGTTTCCAAGAGATGGGGGCTAGATTTTATTTTCTTTTTTTTATAGCTTCTGAATGCTTTTATATATGAAATGGTATATTATCATGACTACTCTTTTTTCTACATGAATATTTACTGCATATATTTTTATACAATTTTTAAAGGTTACATTCTATTTACAGTTATAACAAAATACTATCTATAATTCCCCATGTTGTACAATACATCATTGTAGCCTATGTTACACTCAACAGTTTGTATCTCCCAGTCTTCCACTCTAAATTCCCTCTCCCCCATTTCTCCCCACTGGTAATCACTAGTTTGATTTCTAAATCTACGAATCTGCTTCTTCTTTGTTATATTCATTAGTTGGTTGTATTTTTTAGATTCCATATGTAAGTGATATCATCCAGTATTTGTCTTTCTCTGTTTGATTTACTTCACATAGTATCCATATATGTTGTGGCAACTGGCAAAATTTCATTCATTATTTATTGCTGAGTAGTATTCCATATGGAAAAGGGAATGGCAACACACTCCAGTATTCTTGCCTGGAGAATCCCATGGACAGAGGAGCCTGGTGGGCTACAGTCTATAGGGTCACAAAGACCGAGTGACTAAGCACAGCACAGCACACAGTATTCCATATATATATATATGAAAAGAAAGTTAAAGTGTTAGTCACTCAGTCATGTCCGATTCTTTGCAATTCCCATAGACTGTAGCCCACCAGACCCCTCTGTCCATGGGATTCTCCAGGCAAGAATACTGGAGTGGGTAGCCATTTCCTTCTCCACAGGATTCTTCCTGACCTAGGGATTGAACCCGAGTTTCCTGCGTTTCAGGCAGATTCTTTACCATCTGAGACTCCAGGGAAGCCACATATATATATATATAAAGACAATTGCAACTAATGCTGCTAGGAGAACTGGGGTGCATATATCTTTTCAAATTGGTCTTATTGCTTTTTTCAGATATGAATTTGCTGAGTCATATTGTATTTCTCTTTTTAGTTTTCTGAGGAAGTTCCATATTGCTTTCTACAACAACTGCACCAATTTACACCAGCAATATAGGAAGGCTCCCTTTTCTCTACATCCTCACCAACATGTGTTATTTGCCTTTTTGATGACAGATACTCAGTGGAGAGTCAACATGGATAAAACTATGTTCTTGTGGAAGGAGCAGAATAGATGGAATCTATTTAACTTAGAGAATAATCAAGGGTGCAATAGAAGAACACACTGGGCTTAAGGAAGACCTGCACCTAGAAAGAATTCACCCTGTTCTACTTAAAACTACTGTGAAGAGACTTTCACCCAAACTCTCTTTGGAAAACATTGAGATTTAAAATGATAAAACTTTATAGGAATTTATAATGATATTGTGATGGTTAATTTTATGCGTCAAACTGGAAGACTTGGGAGGATAAGACTACTATTTTATGTTAAATTGGTGAAATTTGAGTAAGCAGTTTGCCTGACATAATGTGAGCTGGGCCTCATCCAATCAGTTGAAGGCCTGAATAAAACAAAAACACCAGCCTCCCTGACTAAGAAGGAATTCTCCAGCTGACTACTTTCAGAGACTCTGAAGGATCTCTGGGCTGCTGGCCCATAGCTGACTTCGGACTTGCTGGCCTCCATTATTGTGTGAGCCAATTCCTTATTAATAAATCTCTCTCTCTCTCCACACACACACACATACACAATACAGCCTATTGGTTCTGTTTCTCTGAAGAATTCTGACAAATACACATCATCAAAAAATAAGTTACAAAGAAATAAAAAATCAACTGAAATAATACTACAGAATCTACCACTGAACTGAAAGTCTTCTTAGTTAATAACAAATAGAAGAAATCTCTGGAAGGTATAAAGAAATAGACCACTCCCATCTGTAACTGCAGAGACAGGAATGGCATTCCACATCATAAAATTAGGTCAAAGACTCTTCTCTAATAAAGTTTCAGTTAAATATTGAGAATATGTCTTTCTGTTTGGTCTAATATAGAGGTGTTTGTGAATATTCAAAACTAGGACAAGGTTGTTCGGTATCTTAACCTGCCTGTGGAAGTGTTATATGCATGAAGAACTATAAGAGCTCTGGATTTCAGACATAACCACATCTCTGAGAAGTAATTTTAGTACTCAAAAAACTTTGTAATTCTGATTCTTGCTTGATAAATTGTTTCCCTTGCTGATAATTTCTCAATCCACTTCTCAGTGTTGCTAAAAGGTATGTAGACTCATAGGATATTTTTTATCCCACTGTAAGAGGGTCATTGGAACTTCCCATTCTCCAAATACACATCATGATAGAAAAAATCCATTTCTTCATTGAATTCCTTAAAAAATGAAAAAGACTTCTGGTTAAAGATAGTTGATTGAAAACAACTGTTTTTTTCCTCTCTCGCTAGAGAGTCCTATAAAACATTAGTAAAGGAATTAACGTCATTATGACTAAGAGAGAAGGATTAGATGAGATACTTAAACCAAAGCCTGAAAAAGTGGTCAGGACGTTCATCACTATTACTAGTGGTGGATGCTCCCAGGGGTCAGAGAGGGGTGCAGTGTGCCTTAGAGGCCCCTGGCGGGGTAGTGCAGGCAGGGAAGAGGACACTAGGATAAAAACAGAGGGACTGTTTGAAAGGAGAAAATAGAAATCAGTGTGCTCCGTTACTCCTCCCTGACCCCAACACAGAACTTTTCCATCTAGGCAGGAGACCAGAGGTTTCTCCTTACGAAAACTGTAAATGACTCAGGAAAAAAACATCTTTGCCTTTGGGCATTTGGGATTCACCCAACAAAGCCACAAGTTTTCAAGCCCATCTCATTAAGTGGAGTCCCAAGCTAGCTTATCAGTGCCTTGCCCTTAAGAATGAACAAACAATTACAGACCACAGCCATTCATGGAAACCAACAGCATGAAAGGGCAGAACCAAGATGAGCAGAGAGCAAAGATTACTCCAGCATAAATAGAAATGTTACAGGAAACAGAATTTCTAAAAAAAAAAAAAAAAAAAAAGCCAACCAATTTTCATACACATAGATGATATTATGTCCAGGATGCCAAGAAGAAAAGACCAGAAACTAAGATAATGGGCCTGGAAATTTTAAAAGATTACTGAATTTTTTTTTTAAGTTTAACTAAAATGATCATAAAATAAAGACAACAGAATTTTTCCAGAACACAGCTGGAAAAAAAATTGTAAAGGAGGAATGGAAAGCAAATTTGAAACATCTGACTGTCTAAAATAGTTATGCAAGTGTGTAGATTCAGAATTAAAAGGAAATGAGTAAAACATATATGCCCTGTTCAGTCATTTGTGTGTGAAATGTGAAAGAAAAATAGCTGTACCCAGGCTCATCTGTTTTCTGTACCCAGAAAACACATCACTCACGCATTCTCTGTGCTGGTCACACAGTTTCAATGTTTAATATTCTGTGTGTGTGTGCTTATTTGCTCAGTCGTGTCCAACCTTTTGTGACCCCATGGGCAGTAGCAGCCTGCCAGTCTCCTCTGTCCATGGAATTCTAGGCAAGATACTGGACTGTGTTGCCATGCCCTCCTCCAGGGGATCTTCCCAACCCAGGGATCGAACCCAGGTCTCCCGCCTTGCAGGCGGATTCTGTACCGTCTTAGCCACCAGGGAAGCCCTCAATGTTCTTCGCTTCTGGGCAAAGGTGGGGTTGCACCTTCTTGCCTTCTTGTGCTGATGGTGACACCTTGGGAGAGGAATTCGGAGCCAGCACGGGTGAGTCATGCTCACTCTACCTCAGCTTGCTGTGGTGGCTGTCACTTCAGATGGTGGCTCTTCACCAGTCAGAGACAGTCCAGGGTGAGGAGTCCCTGAAGCAGCCAGGGGCCCGTGAGATTCTTAGAACTGTCTGTTCCAAAGGAATGTGCTGTGGTGCTTAGTTGCTCAGTCATGTCCGACGCTTTGCAACCCTTTGGACTGTAGCCCACCAGGCTCCTTGATCCACGGGATTTTTTTCAGGCAAGAATGGTAGCGTGGGTCAGCATTTCCTCTTCTACGGGAACTTTCCAACCCAGGGATCGAACCTGCGTCTCCTCTGGCTCTTGTGTTGCAGGCGGATTCTTACCCACTAAGCCACTGGGGATGCTCATTACAACACAATAATCTACTCCAATCTTACTGACACATGGTCTGGGACAAATTATTTGCTGATGTCTATAATAAGAGAATCAGGAAATCAATACCAGCAAGTTTTGTTATAGAAGAAGTGGAAGGCATTAGTAAAACCAGCTAAAATACTAATGTCTAAAAACTGAAAATTTAATTTGAGAACAGAAAGCACATCTCAAAATTATTTGACAACAGTAATTCTCAAAGTGTGGTCTGGGGACCCTGGGGATTTTGTGAAAAAACTCTTTCAGGTGTCATCAAAGTCAAAACTATTTTCATATAAGATGTTATTTACCCTTTTTCTCTCTTGTCCTCTTATAAATGTATAGTAGATTTTTCCAGAGAATACATGGCCAGTGGTATCACAAGAGATTGAATGAAGAAGCAGATAGGAGAATCAAACTGTCCTCTACAGAATCAGCTAATAGATTGCAAAAGTGTGAACATCACTAATCTCACTAATTTAGTTTATTTTAGAAGACATAGTTATTTTTCATAAAATAGGTCATTTATGTTAGCAAGTAATGAGTTCCTCACCATCATTATTATTAAATGAATGAATAAATAAATATATTTAATTGTCCAAAGATCTACTTTCTCATATGGTAAATATTAATAGGTATAACCTACATAAACAAAAGCTAACTCTTTGGAATTCCTAATAATATTTCAGAATATAGAGGGTTCAAAAACAAAAAAAATTTCAGAAGACCTATTCTAGAAAGAGAGGATATATACTGCATATAGTAATAAAATTATAGTAAACTTAATCTAAAACTTCAGAGTATATTAAAAATTTTAACAAACCAAATCTAGGCAAGTTAAAAAACTGAGTTAAATTATTTATTTCAGAGACACTAAACTCAAACGGCCTGGCTTCACATTGGATGTGTTGAATTAGAGAAACAAATACTTGAGAATTAATTAGAATCATAAGGGTAACAAATAGAATCAAAATGAGACTATAAATCTTACAAAAGATAAAAGTAAAGAAAACATACTGTTTTTCTTAAATGGAGAAAAATGAAGAGGGATTAGATATTAAAAGTGTCCTCAAAATTTATTAGCAAGAAGATATGTGTCATTTTACATAGATTAAATTTTCATCTATCAAAGATACAATTTAGCTTTGATACAAGTACCAAAGATACAACAAAAACAAAGTGACAGTAAAAATGTTAAAAGTAAAAAAATGGGCAAGTGACATTAAAGAATTGTAAGAAGACAGAGAGCAAAATTCACAATATCTGTATTTTAATAACCTTTAAGACTACTAATAGACAAATCTTTCAAGGTTGTTAAAAATTTTTACTTTCAATTTTTAACTCCACAAGTGTATTTAAAAAGATATATGGGATATAAGTTTTTAAAATTTCAAAATGTATGTATTAATAACTTGGTCATAAACACAAGAACATACCAAGTATTGGACCCTGAATTGATTGAAATAAATAATAATAAAGAGAAATTAAATAGGTTACAAGTTCTGGCTATAAGATAATATTACAATAGAACCATAATTTTAATACAAATTTTAAGAGAAGAATCTAACTTGTAGTGGTTTAAAAAGTTCAATTTTTGGTTTCAGTTCTAACAATGCAAAGACCTAAGAAATCATCACTGACATCCTTACCAAAAAAAAACAAAACTAAACAACCTGAAAATTAATGAATTTCATGTACATACAGGAAAACTGGGGTGACAGGGCAAACGGTCACCCCCAAAACTGACTGATAGACAGATCCAGAGAATCGCAGATGAGATCAGCTATCTGGAAGAGAAGCCACTTACAGTCATAGACCACAGAAACACTTAAATGGGAAGTTTAATTGGAGGCGGAATGTGGATTTACGTGAGAATGGGAAACTCCTGGGGAGCGAGGGGAAGGGCAATTACCTAAAAATCCAGCTTCTTCTAGGCTTCTGTCTCATTTCATGGAGTGAGGAAAGGGAAAATATCTAAGAAGTCATTCTAAAAATTACAGTCTAGGGACACAGTTCCTCTACAAGATTGAAATGTAATCATAAGACTAAAGAATGCTTTCTCTCCTCTGCACCTTACCTCTTCATCAAGAGGGCTCCAGTATAATAATAAGTAAGGATTACAGCTGAAAGAGCCACAAGGCTCTATTTAATAAATTCTTAGGGAAACACAAACAAAATAGGAGAGACAAAACATGCTGATGTATAGCACCAAACATGAAGCAGTATAGCTTAATTCAGAGTGGATATGGTTAGTTGTAAATATATATTGCAAACTCTAGGGAAACCAATGAAATGTTCTTAAAGAAGTATAGTTGATGGACTAAGAGAGATGAGAAAATAAAATCACAAAATGCTCAATAAAATGTTCAATTAAACAAACAGGCAGAAAAAGAAAGGAAGAAAAATGGAAGCAAATAAGCAGAATGATTAAAAAACAGTTACAAACATGATAGATTTTAATCCAACCACAGGAATAATCACTTTAAATATGAATGGTCTAAAAACACCAATTAAAAGACAGAGATTGACAGAGTGAAAAAGTAACACCCAACTATATATTGTCTTTGAGAAAGGAATTTTAAATGTAAAACACAGATGGGTTAAAAGTGAAGGGATGAAGAAATTCCATGCCAGCATTAATCACAGGAAAGTTGTAGTAGCTACATTAATTTCAGAGAAAACCTCAGAGTAAGGAAAATTTCAGAGACAAAGAGAAGTATTATATAAAGAGCAAATTTCTCCAAGAAGATTTAGCAATCCTTAATGTATATGCAACTAATCTAAGTAGCATCAAAATACGAGACAAAATTTGATAGAACTACAAGAAGAAATAGACAAATCTACTCCTGTTGTTGGAGAATTCAATACCCCTCTTTTAGTGCTTGATAGAACAGGAGGCAGAAAGTAAGTAAAAATATAGTTGACCTGAACAGCACCACCAATCTGATTTACTTGACACTTAAAGACTATTTATTCTACAGTGACAAAATATACACACCACTCATGCTCACATGAAATACTTGCTAAAATGTACCACATTCTAAGCTGTAAAACTTACCTTAACAAATTAAAAAGAAAATAAATCAGAAAAAAATATATTCTCAGACCACAATAAAAGTAGAAATAACAGAAATGTAGCTGTGTATTTTGAAAATTCCAGAATACTTAAAGACAAAATAGCCTATTTCTAGAATCAAAGAAGTCTCGAGAGAAATTTAAAATTATTTAGAATGAAATTAAAATGAAAACACACTTTCACAAAAGTTACAGAATGCAGCACAAAAGTGCTTAGAGAGACATGTGTAGTGTTAAAATGCATATTAGAAGAAAGATTTAAATCAATAATATAAGCTTCCATCTGAAGAAACTAGAGAAAAAGGAGAAATTTAAGCCTACATCAAGCAGAAGAAATCATAAAAATCGGGCAATAATCAATAACACTGAAACAGGAAAGCAGAAAAAAAACCAATGAAACCAGAAGCTAATTTTTAAAAATCAATACAATAATTGATAAACTATATAATAAATAATAATAAAAATAATAAAAAATAATTGATAATAACTGATAAACTTCTACCTAGACTAATAAAGAAAATGATGGCAGAAATTACCAATATCAAAAACAAAACAGGGCTCATCACTATTACTCCTATGAACATTAAAAGGATAATAAAGAAATAATACTACAGATTACACTATCCCTACAAATTTGATAAAATGGGCAAACCTTGAAATAAACTGCCAAACTCACACGAAGAGATAGCTCATCTGAATAGGTCTGTATTTATTAAAGGAACTGAATCAATAACTAATAGCCCTCCAAAAAAGAAAGCACCAGGCCCAGATGGTATCACTAGTGAATTCTACCAAACCATTTCAACTATGACCTCTTCCAGGAAATAGAAGCGGATGTATACCCTCCTAGCTCATTCTATGAGATCAGCATTACCCCACCCTCACCTCTCAGAGCCTTTCTTTTCCTGCCTGGAAGCCAAAGGCTAGTTGGACTTCAAGCTCCACTGGCTCATTCTCCCATCTCTCAGGAGCAAGTGGGAGCAGGGATGCAGAGTCAGCCTCTAGGAGAAAGGGTGCTGGGCACTAAGGACCTGGCAGGCTGCACCACTGCAGGTAGAAATGCTGGGGCCCAGCTAGTGCCAGAAATATCCCCAGCTTGGCAGCCCAGGTTAGAGGAGTCATCATACACTTTTACATTGCTTAAATTGTTTACCACAAAAAATGGATTGATGGTTGACAATAAGTCTTCTCTTTTTCAAACACAATTTCCCTTTCTCTAGCCAGATGTGTAATACATCCCAGAATAGAAAAGACAGCCGCTGCCTCCCTGCCTGTCTGCATTCATTCATGTTGAACCCCATCTACTTTCAGTTCCTCCAAGCAAGTTCCTGAGTTGACTCTCAGACTCAGGGCTCTGACAAAACTGGTACCCCCCCCCCCCCCCCCCCCC